ACCCTTTTCCTTCTTCAGTTTGCACAGTGTCTAATAGAATTAACAGATATACAGTTTGCTGCTCTTTTTCAATTTTGTCCCTCTTTCATTTCTGTCCATTCTATTGCATACATGGAAATTATAGACAGACTTATACTACATACATAACCCAGTGATTGATTTTTCATGGTAAAATCATCTTGCAAAGCAAGGCCTTCAAATGGTAGAACCGAAGAATTCTCGCAGCTCTTGTATGTTTTGTGTTCCTAGGTGTGAGACTCCAAAAATGACAATTGAGCCACTCCCCAGTGAGGCCAGAAAGCATCGCGAGTTTCCACTTCCAATAGTTTAGTGGTTTATCGTAGAGTCTCTAACCTCTCGAGAAAGCGCGCCTTGGTCAATTCTATACGGCTTTCTCTTCCACTATGGGGGGAGCCGCCTCGTTTGGTCACGCTGCGACGTTTCTCTGCAGTCTCTGCAGTCTCTACAATCTCAGGACTATCCATGTGTTATCTTAAATTCATGCAGAGTCATGCACCTGCTAATCCAACATACTTGTCTCCTTCAATATAATACTCAGAACATTCGTCATCTGTCCACTGGTTTGCTTAAAGGTGATCATTTTGTTCGAGATGATAGACTGGCAAGATAATGATGCTTAGGTGGGAAGATGGGGTTATTGCAAGGTATGGAATTCTTGTACGGAAATGGAAATTCTCAGTCTCAAGAAGGAACTTGGGGGCCACAACGGGAGCAAAATGTCAAATATGGGTGAATGAGAATTCCCGAAACGGTCGATACGAAAGCGTTGATAGGAAGAAAAAGAATTTGGTAGAAAGAATACGGCCCAGTAGGCAAAACTAGGAATGGTTAGGCCACAAAGGCCATTGATTACACGGTGATGTCTGTTTTCCTATCTGCTTAGATGTGCATCTAGTTCAAAAGTCTGAACTGCGTAGAGAACTTCTCTATATTAAATCAAGGCTGCAAAATGAACTGCAAGAAGGTATTCAAAGAAGAACCCGCAGCAACCTCAGGTCTCTTACTTCTTCTCTTCTCAAAATGCTCGAATGAGCCGATCTCTTTTCTCAAATATCTTCAAAACGACACTCATACTGGAAAGGAAACCTTCACTCAGCCCCAAAGGCCTTTTGGAGAGCATCACACATTAAAGTGATGCACCTCTTACCCTCAGACAACGCGCCATCCATAGCTAAGAACGGATGCGGCATGCCCTTCATAACCTGCAAATCAACAGCCACGCCAGCCTTCTGCAACTTCTCCGCATATTGTTCGCCCTCCGTGCGTAGCACATCCAACTCGCCAACCATAATCAGTGCAGGCGGCAATTGCGAGTAATCCCCCTTCCAAAATAGTGGGCTTGACTCTGGGCTGGTGCGATCCACGTCGTTGGGGATGTAGTGGTCGCGGTACCAGCACATCTTAAGTGCAGGGAGCGCGGGGGTCCGTTCGTACCGACGATATGACTCGTTGTTCTCTACTGTGGCAGTGTTATCCGTCACGGGGACAGAGAGAAGCTGGGCTCGGAAATGAACAGGCGGTGACAGTGTCAGCGCCTTGTGCGTCATGATCGCGGCAAGGTTCCCGCCGGCGGAGGAGCCACCGGTTGCGACTTTGGTAGCATCCACTGAGAGTACGGCGGGGCCGTCGGCAATTAGCCAGAGGAGAACTTCCCAGCAGTCGTGAACTGCTGCTGGCCAGCGGTTTTCGGGTGCAAGGCTAAGAAATTGTAGGAAATCAGGATCAACTTTCTCAAAATTAAGTATGCATGGTGGGATTAGGTAGCAGATTTGACTTACCGGTAGTCAACTGTGATCACCACACAGTTACCTCGCACACAAAGATTTGAGCATACCACGTTCTCTGTGTCAATGTTACCCAGCACCCAGCCACCACCGTGGAAATACAGCATCACTGGCCATCCACTAGCAGGCGCCTGGCCCTTCGGAGTAAAGCAGCGGATGGGCACTGCCGGGCCCTCGGTAGCTCGCCGCTGAACAGTAATATCTTGAGTCTTGCCCACCTCCAGCATAGGACCTGCGCCAGGAATCAAGACACCACTTGTCCGTGATGCTTCCACGGGCTGAAGGTGCACCTGTTGGCTGTTGATGACATGCTCGTTGTAGAAGGCAACATACTCCGGGTCCAAAAGGTCTCTTACAGACTCATGGAGCGGATACGGTGGTTGAGTAATTCCGGCAGTCATCTTCAGATTAGGAAATGAAAAAAAAAGAAAGATTTTACGCTTTTCGGGTGTTCAGGGTCAAATAAATGTCCACCCCCAGAGAGGGACCAACCTTGGATGCTATGCGGGGAGCGCCGCTGATAAGATGATCACCTTGGAAGCCCACTCTTTGCCGCTTTAGGTATTGATCGAACTGTCGCAGTGGCCCACCTCCCGTTCTCCATAATTGACTCCTATCCATTGTGATTTTCACAACCCCCCATGAGCCACTTCATGTCTTTTAGCTCTGTATCATCATCCACGAGGGAGCCATTTGTTACTTTTCAACATCGGCCAACGTCGGTTAACTGTTGCTCCGGGTGCTGTCTTCCGATTGATAATGAGCCCCTTCCTTGTGCAAGGGGTCATTTTATTACTTGAGTTGATCACTTAATCTCAATTGACTCATCCCTAGCTCCTCTATCCACATCTTACAAACTCTCACAGTATCCTCCAAGACCGCCAAGCCCTCCCCGGGATCTACCTCTAGGCCATCGTTGCTAATGGCGTCGTCTACTGTCTCGGTTCTGTCGCCCTAGACGTCGCTACTAGCAGGTTGATTGATGGCAATACCAAGGGGCACACCGCCAGAGACCTGTAAACGCCGATTGACCTAATTCAATCTTCTGACACCTTCACCCTCCATAAGCACAACTGCATCAAGAATCCAACCATACATCCTCGAGGAAGCTGGCATGTAGTACTAGGGTGTTTTGAAGCCCTGCTGGACGTTAGTTCTTACCCCACTCTTCAACTTAATCTCATAGGGGTCACATGGAGTTATTTCCCTTCATTTCCTTGCAATACGCAGCATGATGCGTGCGCTTTCTCGGGCATCTGTATAGCTTTGCATCTGTTGTCTCATTCGTTGGTAACTTATATACCCTGCAGGTGTGTTGTGGTCAAGACGCTCTATCTCAAAACTGATGCAAATATTGAGTGTATTACTGTGCGATGAATTTCCTCTCAACTTCCATCAAATCCATGGAGCATTTTCAATACTGATGATATGACTCCCGCTTGGAAAAATGCCCAATTAAGAGGGATGGAGGTCCTTTGTATTGTACCATTTCCACTATATAGCGATGTTTCTTCTACCAAGCAAGGATTGATCATACATACATAGGTAGTTCGCTATCTGAAAGACCAGCAATTTCAGAAGACTGGAAAGATATCAAAGCTCTTCATTGCGATCGGAGCCAAGCCGGCATGACCACAACAGATCTAGAAAGACACCGGGTTCGCCGAATACATTAATCAAAGCAAAATGAAGTCGGTAACAACTTTCCTTTCTTCCGCCTACAAATTGTAACACTTTGAATCATAAATCACTATCATGATAAGAAGCAGTAACGCCAAAATAGCTTTAGTCATCCGAAGGCCAATTTGAATCATCGCGAGGCCTCAACCACCCATGGCGGCACTCTGTATTTTGGCAAACAGGGCGCCTTTGGGCACATTTCCATACACGGATTGAATATATGATGCCCAAGCTCCTTTAATAACGTCAGTTAAGTCTTTGAAAAGCACAGGATCAACACCAACCAGCTATTGGGCCTATAATTCCAAATCCGAGTTGAGTCAGTATCAAACCCAGCCATAATTCAGAAGCGGGAATGTCAATAATGAGAAGGGTGAGAAGACCCATCATTTCCGGGGCATAAGAGCAAAAATCATCCCAGAAGGATGTGCTAGACATTCCTGGGTGCCATGAGCTCTGCGGCTTGTGTATTAGAGCAGAGGTCATCGATGGTTTTGTAGTCCAAGGGCATGTTGGGTAAGGCGTAGCCATTTTCAGCCGTAGAAGAGAAAACGTAGCCCCAGACTCAGACAATTTTGAAGAACAGGAAACTATATAAACATCGCTGGGGTGAATGTCTTGAAACTTCTATGACCAAAACCTTTGTAACCGCCCCCAAAGGGCTTAGCACTTTCAGTTTTTTGATTCATACAGGACAGTTGCTTTGGTTATTGCTTTGTTTCGCCCAAGAGAAAAGGTAGGAATAAGAAAGTAAATTTGATAGCTCAGCTGCTAGAGCGAGTATTAGATATTTTCTCCCGATTTCCCGATCCGAATTTCCCCCCCCCTTTTTTTTACACCAGTGACAGTGAAGCCTTGATTGTAGACGGTGCAATTCCTGTAGGTTCTGCAGTGCTCATGACTTTTGCATCGCATCTAACAGCTGTCTGCATTTACGACATATTCATCCTGAACCCAGCAACCATGTACCTGCGTCTTTGTTGCGTAATCTTGACATAATAAAGGTCATTTTTCCAATCTAGCCATCGCAAAAATCGTTTTATTCGAAATAGATCCACTTTATGGGCAGCTTGAAGAACAAATTCCATTGAACAAACGATTCTTCAACAGACTCGTCTCTAGAGCGTCAACATTTCGTCATCATGGAGAGGGGCTTTGAGTTCATTAGAGGATATTCCTCCTATATGATCTATCTTAAAATTAGTCTCATCCATCAGTCGGAAAACATCCCGGAGGGGTATTGGAACCACAAGACAAAGTGCTTCTGAGGTCCAAGCAGGTGTTACGTTCACTGGGAATTAAATTAATCCCGTTAGTCGTAGGAGCGAGAGATAAAAAAGTTGAAAGAAACCATCAAGGCAGAAATAGCCAAGTAGAAAATGGAGAGTGCGGTCAAGATGTAGGAGAGTAAGTCGGATTTGGAAAAGCAAGTAAGAATGGGTAATCAGGATGAACTAGCGCTCGAGAAGTCGATACAAGATTCACATAGGGACAAAGAAAGAGGTAAGGAAAAAAAAGACTCAAGCCTTTTGAACTGAGACTTCTCAAGGAGCTACTAGCGAAGGAGCAAGAACTTTGTGACGTGGAGGAGTCACTTCTAGAAATCCACTGGGGCAGGGCTCGACATGCCAAAGATTCAGCACTCGAATTAAAAAGATACGAGCAAGAGATGAATGACACTAGAGAAGAGGTTAGCGAGGTCCGCAATGCACATCAAATGTAGAGTGTGCAAAGGAGATACTTGCTCCACGGTGCGGCCAGTGGGATTGCTCAGGTCTGGCAGCTGGGATCATATCTGGAGGTACGAAACCCGACCATCCTGATATCTTGTTATAATGAAGTCCCTTGGCTCTTTCCGGTGAAATCTTCCGCGCAGTCATACAGCAGTGCATTTGCCATAATACGAAACACCGTGCGACTACTTGACCTCCATCCAGATTGTCTAGGTAGAACGTCTAATGCTGTGTCAGCTCATCGGATATTTCTTTAACAGACACCCATTGAAAATATCTGAACATGCAAGATTCTAAATTTTGAAACAAAAGGGGGATAGAAGTGTTCAAGGAAGCGAGTGAAAGGGTAAAAAAACGTTCGACCTTGGAAGGGAGGGTGCTGATTACTCACCCCCTGCAGGTGGGAATTCACCCGACTCTCTACATCCCAGGTTATCTACATAGATATGCACTCTTTTAGTGTATCATTCAAAGTATCAGAATTGAATAGAGATAGAGAGGATAGACTTACAGAGTGAAAAAAAAGGTTGAAACAGTACACAATTCGCATCCATAGCAGGAGAAATAGCCTAGTCGAGGGGTAAATTCGTGAAAGACATAAATCTCGTACCTCAATACTTGACCTCTATATATATAGATCTATGTTAGAGCAATTGGTTTGATAAAGGTTCGCAAGTATGATGATAACCTCCATTCTGCTTTCCAAGGTTTCCAAAGTTATGGTTCACGGTGTTCTTATCGGACGACAAAACTCATCCTACATCACCATGGTATCTTCAAAGATATGATCTAGACAATCTAAACCAAACTCGTCGGAGATCGGCTAGATGCTCATGACCTAAACGGACTGGCTTTCCAACCTGTGACGGTATGCCATACATATATGGCCCTAGTAGTTGTTTGATACTGGTAGACCTAACTGTTTTATACAACGCCAATTTGACCTACTTCTAAAAGCACGAACCACTTCACCCGAGCTGCCGATAACAACACGGTCTATGCTAGGACTGAATCTTGCGGATTCAGCTCCTTTAGGCTACCTTATCTTGGTGTACGGAAAAAAACCTCGCGCCTCGGGGTTACAGGAAATAAACTATTCACAGTCAGACCAGAAGCGCATTCCACAACATGAAACCACCAGAAACACTTCATTCAGGTGCCTGTCAAATGCGTCACAATGTATGCCAATCTAGGTTCATGGTTATGTTCTTGTCCTTACTGACAACCCTGGAAGGTCGACCCTTCCGATCACGTGTTGTGCACATTGGCCGGGACTACACGAACTGTTAAGCTGTTTGTACAAAAACGTGGGAAATAGAAGAAACAGAGGAAAAGAAAGAAGGAAACTAGGATCGGATAAGCCCGATTGCATTATTCGAAAGATTTGTCGCCATTGTTAATAGTCGGAGCGGTTGTTGACCACGTCATCGAGGGATCTAGGGCCCAATTGCCTCCATGCTCCTATCTTCACCTCCAAGGACAACCCTTCGATGCACGGAGAAACAACCACACTGAATTCTCAGAAGATTGCATCTGCTTCAATCCTTCCATTCTCAGGGACTGAAACGAACTGACGTCTATAGAAACAAATCCACAGGGATAAGGCTAACCACAGCCAAACCCGACACATCCCTGGCACTAGGGCCCTGACACTAGCAAGTCCTCAGCATTCCAATTTATCAAGCTAAGATGGACTACTCTCTACAAAGAGGGCCATCCCCGAGGCCTTGGATTCTTTCGACGCACGCCCCTCGGCTGTTACATTCCACCCCTCCACGCTATACTCGCGTCGACGCGCTTCAGGGCCAAGAACCCTTCATTTAATTCCTCTTTAGTCCTTTAACACTCCTCTTGGTACCAGCCTTGTGTGTGCTATTCTTTGCGCCAATTGATGAATTTTCAGTGTGACTACAACTGGGTTCGATTTGGAACCGGCGCTCTCAGTACGCCTGCCCTTTACCTACAGCACACTCGCATTCTTCCCAACTCGGCTTCCGAGCCCCGGGCAGCTCAAAAAGGGCCATTAAAGGGTTGTTGGCCTCTTTTTCCTCGAAAAATTGCAACCATGGCTTCTGGATTTTCAGCTATTCCACGAAAGGAGGGTACATGGACGAAGCTTGTGATATTTGTTGCGCTATACTTGCTACTCCTCGAGTCTATCTTGGAATGTGTGATCGTGTTCTACCTTTACGGCAATAGCCAGGTTGATTCAAAGATGACTCCAAGTGTTGTACTTGCACTTGTTGCAGTATGTCTGACTTGTACATTTTGTTAGACTGTATCGCTGACTCTTATTCAGTCTTTCCTCTCGCTGCCACTTGTCGGCCTCCAAAGCCTGGTCGCTTGGCAGTACAACAATATCGGTGGATTTGGAACCCAGAAAACCATTCTGCATAACATCTGCACGTATGTCCTGCGCTTGGATCTCATGCTTTGGCTAGCTACAAGTGTAGCCGGTCTAGTGGTTGCTGCACAGCAGGTTTATTGTCTCCCAGAAGGGACAGATGCAGATATCTGGAGAGTTGGTACAAGCTGTGCCTTCCACCGAGCGTCTGTGATCGTGGCAGTTATCTCAATGTATGCTGGATTCCTTTTCGGCTTCTTCTTTACTTCCACTGACAATCATTCCACAGGGTTACCGTGTGCTCTATGTACTGTGCAAGGGAGCTTTGCGATAGACCATATGATGTATCCCTTCTCGGTATCTACAGGCGCCAAACAGTCCTCAAAAATGGCAGCATCGTTTCAGGTAATAGCTGGGATAGCGAGGAAACACTTAAGAACGAGATTCTCTATCTTTGCCGCCAACACGATGGAAATGGAGCCGGCGAGTTCTGGTCTGTGGACCCAATTGCCAACAAAGTCAACTGTCATCCCAGCATCCGCCATCCTGCCCCTGTCCGTCTACGACCTCAACTCCGAGTTAACACTGATCCTGGTTCGACTTACGGAGAGATTATGTCTGGAACGACGATTTCGCCAGATACTGCACATCGTATCTCACCTGGATCACAAAGCCTGGCTAGCGAATTCTATCCTCTCTCGAGCACATCTACTGTCATGAGTCCACAAACAGCCAACGAGTTACGTGCTCTTCTCTCTAATGCGCCTGCTCCAAAAGTCCCGGCCATCCCTCAGGAGTCCACCAGCCACAAGAGAGCAAAGTCATCACTCTCTTCTCTTAGACGACTTCTTCCAAAGTCTTTTCCATTGTCACTTCCACTGTCATCGGATCCTCAAATTCAGGCCCTCGCGGACTCCAACACCGCATCTGATGTCGAAAAGCAGATCGTGACACCAAACAGCATGTCCACGGGAATCTCGCAATCCACAACTTTCCAACTCATCGCAAACGGCAACACCCCAAACGCCTCTTCAGCATCTCTCCCCCAAAGCCCTGTCAACACCGAACCCAAACCCAAACCAGCACACCCCGAAGGTCACACCCGAACAATGACTATGAACTCCGCCGACGCGCCAGAAGTAGTCCCGACAGCTCCAACCTCCCCACCAAAAGTGTGCCGCTCCCAAACCACCTACACCATGCCTGCAGAACGCTCAATCCACCACCCACACCATCCAAACTTTGTTCCACGCCCTCCCCCGCCACCACAACCACGAGCATACTCCCAGTCCCACCGCCAAACATCCCGTCCAAGAATGCACCAGAACCCAATGCGAAAGAACACGGAACCCAGACAGAACGTCATCCACCACCCAGTCCGCAGCTCCTCCTATCACTTTGATTCAAATCACGTCCCGCGTCACTCGCACAGCCAGTACAGCCTACACTCAAACGCCCACCGTAGGAACAGCCAGTATGGACACCGATCATCCCGCTGGGCAAATCAGCGCCGTTACAGCTCAGTACGATCCATGCCAGCGCCGATTCCCCGTCGCAACGATGTCGAAGTAATCTACCCTAGCACGCGTCGTCCACGCAGCGGCACTCCTGCCAGCGCGAGTGGTCCGCTTAGCTGCATCTTGGAGGCGAGTGACCTGTATACGGTGGATGATTTCAGGCCCATCTCGGCTGCTTACTCGGAGTTGCCATCGAATTCTATTGATCAAACAAAATATCGTGGTGTGAATCGGACGAGTTTGAGCATTCATTGAGAGGGTGTTTTGTTGGACAGAAGTTTGGAAATGGTATTAATAGCTGTTTGTCTGCCGGCCGGACATTCTCTTGATTCTTTTTGGTTTATTTATTAGCATTATATGGCTTGTATCAGTGGATAGTGTGCCCAGGTGTACCAGGGTAGTTTGGTTACTTTTTAACAGTCGCAGTGTTTTTTGAGGTGATTTTTTTGAGAACAAGTTGATTTTGTTTCTAGAACAGAAGGACAAGTAGTTAATAAACATTAATCAGGAAAGGTAAAAAGACCAGCACCAAAAAAAAAGCCGGTTCGTAGTGCTGAAAACAACAAGATGCAAGGTTCAACGCCTCAAGACGAGAACAGAACAGAACACGACATGCAGTTTCAGATACCGAATTCCATTCCAGGGTGGAACAACAGGTCGCTATAAGACAAATCAGAAGAAACACAGTCCAATCCACAAGCCGATGGAGTACATCAATCCCAGGAAAACATGAGATTAAACAACCTCATCTAAGCCCTAGCTTCCATGCTCTTGGACTTCTGCTTCTGAGCGTACTTGTAGCGATAAGCCTGCCCACTCTTAGCATCTGAATCACGGGCTCGATCACGACGGCGGCTCTCTTTGCCATTACCCTCGGCCAAAGACCCCGGCCCACGACCAAGCTCCATCTCCCCCCAGCTCATCATCAAAGCCTTGGCCATACGATCACGCTCTTTGAGGAGCAGGTCGATGCGCCGCTCCCATTCGCGCTCGCGCTTGTCCACCGACAAAGCGATGCGTTGGTCGACCTCGGCCGCAATTTCATCCTTTGCAGCGATGACGTCTTCCAGGCGTCTAAGTTCGATTTTGAAACTCTTGCGTAGGTGGTCTTCAGAGGTCGCTGATGAGGTGCGGAGAGTTGCAAGCTCCGAACGCAGATCTGTTTCGCGTTGCTCGGCGGCTGTGAGGAGGTGGCGGATTTTACGCATTGACTCGGCGTGCGAGGCGCGCAGCGTTGAGACTGCCGTCGAGTGTGCGGTTTGCAGGCTGCGGAGTTGGCTTTGGTGGTTCACTTCCAGGGCTGCTGTGTCCGGTCCTCTTGGCTCTGGGTTGAGAGCTCCGCGCGCTGTGGGGGGTGAGGGGGGTGGGCTGGGAGGTTCGGCGATCTTTTCTTCTTGCAAGCGGGCAATGGTCTCGAGGGACTCGGCATACCCTTCTTGCGATTGTATTAGGTCATGTTGGGACTTGTTTAGGGCTGCCGTGAGCTCATCCACCCGGCTGGAAAGTTGCGCTTTCTCTGTTTCGATGGTTTTGATAAGGGTCTGGGCTTCGGTATCTGCGGCTTTATGTGCGGCAGATAGTTCCTGGAGTTCTTGCCGAAGGCTTGCAATGGTTGGCACGCCTGGTTGTTGCGATTGTTGCGGTTGCTGCGGTTGCTGCACACCTTGGCTATCCACGAACTTGTCCTTCAATGGCGAGTGGAGTGGGGATGCGGGATCCCCTGGGCCCAGATCTTTGATCAAATCGAGAATCTCGCTGTAGGTGCTATGGCCGCTGATAGGCAGATCTGCAGCAGCAGCTTTGAGAGCACTCTCCTGGGCTTCCATGTGGGATTGAACACGACTAAGATTTGCTTCCAGTGTGATGTTCTTCTCCTCCAGAGGGCGATTTCTAATTTCCAAGTCCATGAAGCGTTCCTCAAGGACCTGATGATCATTTTGCGCACGCTCTAATTCCGACTCAAGCTTCTCATTCTCCAGCCCGTAGTCGTCGATCTGTGCCTGGAGTTGATCAATTTCCGAGTTTTTCTCCTGTATTAATGCATCCTTGACCCGTATGACTTCCTTATGCTTGGTGATTGTCTCATCTAGAGTTTCATCGCGCTTTCGCACCTGCTCCTGGGAAAGATTGAGCTGCTGGCGCAGGTGAGCGATTGTCTCCAACCTCTCTTTGTCCATCGGAGTCTGCACATCTCTACCTTGGAGCTGCTGTTGCATCTCACTGATCTGGTTCAAAAGAGGACTGAGATCAGCTGTGTTTATGCTTGAATGGCGCAATAGCTTTTCCTGCTCTTCGATTTTCTTTTTCAGTGACTGAACTTGCTCACGCAGCAGTGCCTCGTCGCTAACTTTGGCATTCGCCTCATCTAGGAGAGCATTTTTCCGCTGCAATTCTGTCTGGAGATGACGGATATGCTCACTAGCAGAAACAGCTTCGAGCATATGGTTGCGGTTCTTCTGCAATTGGTCATCGCGTTCCTTCAAAGCTTGCTGCAGTTGTGCTATCAGCTGGTAAAGATTCTCATTCTGCACCTCTGGTGCACGACTGGAGGCGTCCGACAACTTTCGGATGGAAGGGGATGCGGAATTTTGGGCCTCATTGTCATCGGGGTATTCTTCAATACCTTCTAGATGAGTCGAATCTTTAGGGAAAGCGCTAGTCCGGTGCAACAGGCGTGAAGGGGTCGACATATCTACTGGCGGTCCGAATTCACTATATTCACCAGAGTCGGTTTCTTCTTCGATCACGGTTTGCCTCGACTTCTGGGAAGATCGTCGTACTGATCCGTAGTCTTCTTCAGCTTCATCCACATGGTTCGCTCCATCTTCCAGATCGCCCATCAGGTATTTCTCCATGTTCGCTGTGAAATCTTCCGGGCCTCCAACGTCGGATAGTTTATCTACATCTTGATTGAAAGGAGGAAGAGTTTGCTCCTGCTCATCCAAAGCGAAATGGCCGCTCGGGAAGTTGCTGAAATCCAAGGTGTAATCGACAAGTCGCGCATCGAGATCTGAGCCTGTTGGACTCCCAGGAGAAGGTGGTCGAGTGACATGTTGCATTCCATTATCCGAATGGCATTCATCGTCAATAGTGTGGCTATGACCTTGTTTGCTAGATTGCGCTGTGACGCGCTCGGTTGCGGGAGTCTGGTCAGTTGCAGGAGTTTGGGCGGTTGTCGGAGATCCCAATGGGCTGGAAGGTTGTTGCGGAGGAGAGGATGGCATGAAGAGAGGCGTCACTAGTGTTGACTGCCCAATAGTATCATGTGAGGTTGGAAATGGAGAGCTATAGCCTGCATCGGCCATGGTTGCGCACGCGTGCGGATGCGCAAAGAGGAGTGCTAAATCAGCCAAAGCAGAGATCAAATACAATCCCTGGGGCTGCACTTGAGAACTACCGAATGAAAAAAAATTAACCGAGTAAATAGAGAAATAACAATAGCCAAATTGCGGGGGAGAAAAGACAGATTGAAGAATCTCGCGACGGGGTTGTATTTGAGCGCCTGAGGCGTCAATGGTTATTCACTGCCTATTTAGGTCTAGCGGACATTTGTGTCTGATAGATGCTTCTTCCTTCTCTCTTGTCTTTTCGTCTCACAATTCTTATTTGCTATTTGCATGGAATTGATTCTACAACCCAACATCTGATCGATTTAAGCCATCGTCTTCCACTCTTCAAATCCTGGTGGAACCACCGAAGGCTCATGCGATCGGCCGCGCCGTTCGGCTTCTAACTCGGTTTCCCCGTTGCCTGGTGGTTTTTTCCGACCACGAGCTCGACCGCCTTTTGCAGCGATAGCATGCTATCAATTCACGTTCATACCATCAATATGGCCTCTTTACAAGCTGGTGCTGTAAGGTCACCTACCTGTTTCTCTGGATCCATATTATGGAATCCACCCACGCCGGTGGCTTTCCCCCCCTTTTTTCCACCCTTGTGACCTATTTCTGAAAGCTCTTCGCGTGAACGATTTGCAAAATTCCCAGGGTTGGGGTGGCGTGGACGATTGGACGGTGGTACTGTGGCGACACTACAGCGATGCCACAATCCAACACTCACAGACTGTGCGGATGGAAGTAGTCTAAAAAGCGGACGTGACATGATTCGAGTTCCGCTGATCAAAGTCATGGCGCTCTTAATTGGGGAAAATTGATGCCAGAAGTATACGCTGCTCCGCAAATCAGATGTTGCTTTGCCACAAGGCTGGTTTGATGGGCAAGGCCTGCAACTTATGTAGTCCCCAGAAACAGCTATTTTGCCTTCATCAGCTCATCGGAGGCGGTGGCTTCTCTCTGTAGGCCTTTTTCCTTTCGAGGTCCACTGGTCGGCTTCCTTTGTTCTTATGGGATAGATCTGTCATTCGTGTGTGCCTGGATGAAGTCCACAACAACATGCATTTATTTCCCGAGTTACTCATTTCAATTTGCCGGAGCACCAATCCGACATATGAACTTGATGTCATCCTTTAGGTCCTCCCCAACGAGCCGAGTTCAACGCCATGGATATAGGGGCCAATGTCCGTGGTTCTAGCATTGAGGCGGTGATCCAGACTCGTGTGGGATGAGGACGAGAAGAAGCTGCCCTACAACACCCTATCCAATTCAACCCACATTTTGACATAGTCCTATCTCAAAACAACAACTACAGCTCCTTGTAAAGAACCGGTAGCCTTGCCCAAAGATGGAGCTACAATCTAGCTTAGTCAGTGTGGATTTGGGTTTCTCGTGCGCAGGTGTTCAGTCCGATCTACTACATTGTGTTGCAGCTATATTCCCCGGGTGATTCCTTTTTTTTTGGATATTCGTCATTGCATAACTCTGGAGTTTCAATTTTATTCTTCGTGGTCATTTCTTAGGGACGCTAGGAACTTGAAGGATCCCGAAACCCCACAGCCTACCGCCAAAGCTCAAGCGTGTCATCCAGCTTTCACCAAGCGAAGCGCATGGAATAATCTTGAACTACTCTGTACGATTATCTGGGTTATCAAATTCATACGCTTATCAAAATGCCACCTATCCAAGGTGGAGTCGGTGAACGCCCGCGGGTGATCTTGTACCACCAAACGCTCATCCCAGGCGGGGGCCAGTATGTCTCCATGCTCCCGCTCCTCGAAAACAACACCGGGATCACACATGTTATTCTTGCGGCTTTTCACCTGAATGATGCACCGGGAGATATCACTCTCAACGATGACCCACCAGACAACGCCAAATTCGACCCCCTATGGGCCGAAGTGCCGGTCGTGCAGCGGCAAGGCGTGAAAGTCATGGGTTTGCTAGGCGGGGCCGCCCCAGGTTCCTTCACACGGCTTGACGGGAGCCGGGTGGACTTCGAACAGTTTTATAATCCTTTCCTGACTATCATCCGCCGCCATGGCCTTGATGGAATCGATCTCGATGTAGAAGAGACCATGTCTTTGCAAGGCATCATCCGACTCATCGACCGACTCAAGGCTGACCTGGGCGACGCGTTTATCATTACCCTAGCTCCTGTGGCAGCTGCACTACTTGGGATTGGGAACCTATCAGGCTTTGACTACCGTGAACTCGAGCAGGCTCGTGCTTCTAAGATCAGCTGGTACAATGCCCAGTTCTACAATGGATGGGGTCCTGCCGAGGATCCACGGATGTATGCTGCTATGGTCTCCCAGGGGTGGTCTCCACGACGAATTGTGTATGGCCTGTTGACAAACCCGGGTAATGGATCACAGGGTTATGTGTCCCAGGAGAAGATTGGTCCTGTTTTGGCAATGTTGATCGAGCAGTTTCCCAACTTTGGTGGCGTTATGGGTTGGGAGTATTACAATGCTCTACCTGGGGGCACGGCGAAACCGTGGCAGTGGGCTGCTCAGATGACTTTGAGCATGGGAATGAAAGATGTTGTCGTGGCAGCTCGCCAGTTCATGTCGGCAGGGTCGATGGCGAGCAGTCTCAATAATTTGTTCCAAGATATGCTGAATCAGGGACGCCGATGAAGCGAAATGAAGATCTGGCATTTCGGACAAACCGTGACTATATCCTTGAACTCCAACTGTTTTCAAGATCAGGTGTAGTGAATGGCTTTGTCAATGTGCGTTGGCCTGTATTCCAAGGCACGTGAGAGGTTTGCTGGAGCGTTGAGATTCTGTAAGGATCGCATGGTTTCTATTGGATAGTGCTAAACACTAGTTAACGTATTTCACTACCAAGCTGGCCACCCCAACCAAAACGCGTCCATGAATTGGATCTTATTTAGTTCAACTACCCACCTTGCCACCAATTCGTACTCAATCCTCTCGAAATCAATAGAGTAGGAGGGTAGATCTCACTAGCTATCTAGGATTTTAAGAATCAAGAAATCTCTTTAATTCGTGAAGTGGCGCGCTGTTATAACGTCCCAAGATCCACCCTTTCCGCCCGCCTGAATGTTATGTAACACCGCGCGATTTCTCGCGCTAACTCTCATAAATTGACCGATACTAAAGAGGATCTCTTCAAAAATAGATCCTCTCTATAGATCTACGTGGAGTAGCCCCCGGCCCTTTATAGTACGAGAAATAGTAGATCTTCTTCTTTAAAAGCGTAGAACTACACTAGTCCTTTCGGTCGGTTAAAACTAGGTTACGAAATTCGTTAAACGACGTCCTCTCCTCTCCTCCCGATTCTCGAAACGGTATGTGTCAGGGTGCGGGCTGGCAGGACGGTATGATAGGAGATGACTGGTAGGTGTCACGGTGCGAACCGTGATGCTTAGTTAGAGAAAGATCACGGCACGTGATCTCCGACCTGTTTATCTGAACTTCAGTTCTAGATCCTGTTGTAGCTCTTCGAGCTACGTCTTGTATAATAGCCTGCCCCTGCCTGTACCTGTCAATGGGAATCTGATCTGTTATGACCTGTTCCTACCAGTCATCTCCTATCATTCCGTCCTGCCAGCCCGCACCCTGACATAACCCTTATAGCGAACAAGTTTTAGGCTGTGAGGGATGGATGATGACATACGTATTATTAAGCAGCGTACTTATTA